ATTCCCCCCAGTGCCCCCCAATTCCCCCCTGTGCCCCCCCAGTGCCCCCCGTGCCCTCACCAGCTGTGCGGGGGGCAGGGGCTCAAACAGGGGGTGCTCCCCAAAATGCTGCAGCATCCACTGGTGCAGCTCGGGCACGTCGGTCACCGTGTACACCAGGCCCTGCACCCCAAAACCACCGTGTACCCCAAAACCACCGCGTACACCAGGCCCTGCACCCCAAAACCACAGTGTACCCCAAAACCACCGTGACAGCCCAACTCCCCCTGTGTGCACTGGGGGCCTGGTGGGGACCCCAGAACCAGGGACACCCCAAAAGCTCCCACTCGGGGCGGTTCTGGGGGGGTCTTGCGGGACTCAGGGGGTTTGAGGGAGTTCCAGGGGGGGCTCAGGGGGTTTCAGGGCCAAAACCTCCAGTGCCACCCCCAGTGCCACCCCACACCCCCCAGTGCCCCCCAATTGCCCCCCAGAGGGGTCCTGGGGGCTGAGGGGTGCCCCTGGGAGGGGAGGGGGATTCAGGGGGGGTTCAGGTGCTCCACAGGGCCCCGAGGGTTTGGGGGTGTCTCAGAGGACACAGAAGCACCAGGGAATGTTGGGGAGATGCTGCAGGTTTTGGGGGTCTCAGGGTGGGTTCAGAGCACACAGGAATTTCAGGGACTGTTGGGTTGGAGGCCTCTCAGGGGGCACAGAAACTTCAGGAAGTTTTGGGGGGGTCCTGTGAGTTTGGGGTCTCTCAGGGTTGGTCGGAGCACAGAAATCCCAGGGACTGTTGGGTTTGGGGCTCTCAGGGTGGCTCAGAGGACAAAAATTTCCCTGACTGCTCAGTTTGGGGGTCTCAGAGTGGGTTCAGAGCACAGAAATCCCAGGGATTGTTGTGTTTGGGGGTCTCAGGGTGGCTCAGAGCACACAGAAGTTTCTGTGACTGTTGGGTTTCGGGGATTTGAAGCTCTCAGGGATGGGTTCAGAGGACAGAAATCCCCCTGCCCGCTGGGTTTGGTGCTCTCAGGGCGGCTCAGAGCACAAAAGTCCCAAGGATTGTTGGGTTTGGTGCTCTCAGGGTGGCTCAGAGCACACAGAAATTTCCCTGCCCGTTTTGTTTGGGGGTATTGGGGTGGCTCAGAGCACACAGACGTTTCTGTGACTGCTGGGTTTTGGGGTTTGTGGCTCTCAGGGTGGCTCAGAGATCAGAAATCCCAAAGATTGTTGGGTTTGGTGCTCTCAGAGTGGGCTCAGAGCACAGAAATCCCAGGGACTGTGGGGTTTGGGGCTCTCAGGGATGGGTTCAGAGGACAGAAATTTCCCTGCCTGTTGGGTTTGGGGTGTCTCAGAGCACATAGAAGTTTCTGTGACTGTTGGGATTTGGGGTTTGGGGGTCTTGGGGTGGCTCAGAGGACTCAGCAGCCCTCCTGCCTGTTGGGTTTGGGGGGTCTCAGAGCACATAGAAGTTTCTGTGACTGTTGGGGTTTGGGGGTCTTGGGGTGGCTCAGAGTACTCAGCAGCCCTCCTGCCTGTTGGGTTTGTGGCTCTCAGGGTGGCTCAGAGCACAGAAATCTCAGGGATTGTTGGGTTTGGGGGTATTGGGGTGGTTCAGAGCACAGAAATCTCAGGGATTGTTGTGTTTGTGGCTCTCAGGGTGGCTCAGAGGACAGAAATCCCCCTGCCCGTTGGGTTTAGGTGTATTTGGGGGTCTCGGGGTGGCTCAGAGCACACAGAATTCCCCCTGCCCGCTGGGTTTGGGGGTCTCAGGGTGGCTCAGAGCTCCCAGCCGCCCCCCGCCCGTTGGGTTTTGGGGTATTTGGGGTCTCGGGGTGGCTCAGAACACTCAGCCGCCCCCCTGCCCGTTGTGTTTGGGGGTCTCAGAGCACCCAGCTGCCCCCCGCCCACTGTGTTTGGGGGTCTCAGGGTGGCTCAGAGCACCCAGCCGCCCCCCTGCCCATTGGGTTTGGGGGTCTCAGGGCTCCCAGCCGCCCCCCGCCCGCTGCCCCGGCGGCCGGGCGGGCTCCCAGCCGCCCCCCGCCCGCTGTGTTTGGGGGTCTCAGAGCTCCCAGCCGCCCCCCACCCGCTGTGTTTGGGGGTCTCAGGGCTCCCAGCCGCCCCCCGCCCGCTGTGTTTGGGGGTCTCAGGGCTGCCAGCCGCCCCCCGCCCGCTGCCGCGGCGGCCGGGCCCACCTGAGCCCTGTGGAAGAAGTGGGGCAGGTGCTTCATGGCGTTGCCCCTGACGCACGCCACGTTGCCGAAGCGGCCGGGCTGCGCCGCCCGCAGCGCCCGCAGCCGGGCCTGGGTGAAGGCGGCCACCTTGGCCCGCAGCTCCAGCCCCAGCGCCAGCGAGCGCGGGAAGAGATCGGCCAGAGCCACTGCGGGGGGGAGGGGAGGGGGGAGAGGGGGAGAGGGAGCCAGTCCCCCCCAGTCCCTCCCGAGTCCCCCCAGTCACTCCCAGTCCCCCCAGTCCCCCCCGCGGGCTCTTCCCGCTCGGGGCCGTTTGGGGAATTCGGCTGCGGCCAGGCCGGGGGCGCGTTCCGGGAACCCCGGGGGTGTCGGGGGGGGTTGAGCAACGCGGGGCCGGAGCCGCCCGGCCCTTCCCGTCCCTTCCCGTCCCTTCCCGGCCCTTCCCGGCCCTTCCCTCCGGTCCCTTCCCGTCCCGGCCGGTCCCTCCGGGGCTGCCCGGAACGGCCCCGGGCGGGGGTCCCGGGCCGGGGCACGGGGGGACGGGGGGACCGACCCCTCCCCCAGCGCCGTGACCCCCC